TTTATGGTTGTTAAGTATGACTGGGAGACACTAAAGTATGGTGATTCTGGGAGAAACCAGGTTCACCAGCTGAAGGACCAAAAAACAGCACTGGCCATAACTGTGGGAATGAGAAGCACATCAACACCCATAACCTGCAGAGAATAATGTAATCTCCACCCTACAGTTCAGCCAATAGCAAACATTTATGTTTGTCACAAGAGAAATTCCATTACTATTATCCAGTCAGTGATGAAAAGTCATGGTGATTTCTCTGGCTGTGAGGTTGATGGGTCTTGAGTTTTACTGCAGCACATAAATTGGTAGTCTTGTTTTGGATTTCACCATGGACAAACAAAGAATTTCAGTGGCTCCACTTTTAGACCTGTACACTAGAGATTAAGTTAAAAATGTAACCCCCAAAATTTAAGTCTTTCATGGCCACAGTGCAAGGAAGTTTTCAGTAGTTATACAGCTGTCATTTCAAGCATAAATGGATCCAAGGATCATCACACATGAATAAATAATTCTTAAGTGTGTTAATCATTAAAGATGTGCTCACTTAAAGTACCACCTGGATCATCATTACCTGGCTGTTAATGTTGGCCTTGGACCAGCATCTCAACCACTATCTCTGAGTGACCCAATTTACAGAAATCCCTGAACCCTTATCGGGATAGGGCACCAACATCATCTGGCACTGCACTCTACTCAGTCTGCACAAGGCACTGTTGCTGGAAGAGAATTTAATTCAAGTCTGCTTCCGTATTAGTCATACATCCACTAATGAGAACTTTAAATAACCTATTACCTTATGATCCAGAAATATGAATGTCAGTCCACTTTGAAGATCTGAAAACTTCCATATTTATTTACTGGTGGCAGGTTCTTGTGACCATGGTAATAAACCTTCACGTTCCACAGAACGTGGAGAATTTCTCAACTAAACAAGTGCAATATTGACATATCAAGGACTCTGCTCCATGCATTCAGTCTACTAGTTAATAAACAAAATATATTTTTAAATAAATATCACCAAAGATTTACCTGAGAGGAAAATATATTGTGTAAGAGTTGTAGAAATTCATAAAATAAGTTATATGTTGCGTCTTGCAACAACTACACTCATTTAACTACCACTATTGTTGCCATGCCATGTACATGACTCTGTAATGCAGGTCACATACCTAGACAGCAGACATACATCATACAGAAATGAATGCCACTCAACCCGTCTACTTGAATGATTTTCTTTCAGAAGTAATGGGTGGGGGACATCACTCCACACACAGTAGACACGTGAGTATCAAGTAAACAGCTTCAGAACAATAACTGAACAGCTAATGATTGTTAAAACTGGGTTATCCTACCTGCACAGTAAGCTCAGATTTCACTGTTTCTTAGAAGGCCATTTCATAAACATGTTTTTAGTTCAAGAATGGTAAAATCAATTTGGAGCAGATTATTTCCACTGCTATACATTAAACACAGTAGGTAGAAAATTTACATCTTTCTGGTGTCTTCAGCCAGTTATTTACTTCTCTGTGTTACTGTTAGTCCTCGTTGATTGGTGAGTGATTTTTCTATATAAATTGAAATTGTTCATTATAAAAATATCACTGAAGACGAGAAAAGATTTGAGTGTAACAAAGAAGTTACATCTTATAGCAAAATTTACGAAGTCTATTTCAAAGAGCAGCAGCTGCTAAATTGGGAGTGCCTCAGTCAACTTTGTCAACATTTTTAAAATATCATGATACATTAAATTCTAATAGAACTATTGAAAACATAAGAAATCATTAAGGAAAATGTCATGCTGTAGATAATGCAGAATTATATTAGAATAAAGCCAATGATTTTGGTGAAAAATTAGAAGTAGTATTTAAAGCAACCAATGGATGGCTGACAAGATAGATGGTATTGTTTAAACAAAATCATGGAGAAAAACAAGATTCTGATGGCTCAAAATGTGACAACTGGCTAAAAACTGATTGGAAAACTGTATTAAACAGAAGATATCTTTAATACAATGTAAAACTTTGGCTTTCTGAAAAGTTGGTTAATGCCAAATATTGAAAGCGGCCCTCACCTGAAAGAAAAAGTCTTAAGCTGAAATCTAGCTGTGAATACCTACAGAAAAGAATCTTTAATGCAGATGAAACATGACTATTCTACAGCGCTACTGCAGATCATTGCATGATGTTTACAAATGACTCAGCTTCTGCAGGGAAGAAAGTTAAGAACAGAATTACAGTCCTATTAACTTGCAATATGACATGAACAACAGAGATGAAGCCATTAGTAATAGGAAAGAGTAAATCTCCTAGAAATTTCAAAGGTGTATCTTTCTGTTGAATATGTGCATAATGCCAATGCTTGGGTGACAACTTCTGTATTTGAAGATTACCTTTGCTCCTGGGATAGACAATTAAACAATAAAAAGAAATCACTAATATGGACAAGTGTCTGGCACATCCAAAGCTTAACATGGAGAACATCGAATTAACCTTTCTATCTCCCAAAACTAAGTTGTACTTCAAACTGTCAATCAGGAAATTATAAAAACTTTTAAGACCTTATATAGATTAAACAAGAGACAAAGAATTATTCAATGTATAGACAATACAATGGGAAATTAATGTGTTGCACATGAAGATAAATGCTTGGGTTAACGTTACTGCTACTTGTATCTACAACTGCTTTAAAAATTAAGTTCAATGTGCTGTGACAGTGTTCAAAAGACTACAACATTGATCATGTGGAGGAGCCTGATGACAGGAGTTTAATGACTGGGAGGACATGGATCATGATCTTTGAGTTAGTACAAAGCACACATAAACCAGTGACTACTTTAAATTATAAATATACTGTTACATTATGTAATAAATTGTACATTTATTTTCAATGCATACATTACTGTACAAGATATGTAATAGTCCAATGATTTTCATTTATTAGAATCAATGTTTACTAGAACAAAAATATAATTTACAAGTGCTATCACTATAACTGATGCCAACTGTATCCATAGTTCATGCATCATTACACCACTGATGATACTAGTAATGAAAACTTACATCATTTTAAGTGGATAATATAACAGTGTGAATTTACAATACTGTGTACCAAATAAATTTATAAACATTATATTAAAAATTCTATGACCAGTTCAGGCAAAGGCTACACTCCCTGATCGTGTTATTCGGATGTAGCTCAATCTCGATGGCCTTGAGGTATACAGACTACACAGCGCTACAACCCAGAAGACATGAAAGTAATTAAGAATACACTATCCTGTGTGCTGCTATTTCATATTTATACACAGAAATGTCCACTGTTCATTCAAAACATTTCCTATCAGCATTCACTAACCCTTTTAAGCTGGAGTGTGTCTAACAATTATTTAGAAATCCAGTTTGTACCTCAAAGAAAACAACACTTCACCATTACAAAGACCAGTCTGGTCAATCATGTATAAGTAAATAATTGCTGTTTACTCTGAGAATCATACAAAATCTATAAATACACTCTCTGAGAATGGGGGGGGGGGGGGAGGAGGAGGAGAGAGATCACTTCTCTTCAAAGGTAACCACAGTATAATTTACCTTGTCATCAGAAACTCTATGACTTGGTTTTGTGTCAGGATGTTTTATGTGCCTTGAAGGAAAGAGGGACTATATACAGGAGAAACGCTTAGAAGAAATGTGTAATTGTAAATAAGAGTTAGAATATTCTGATTGTTCAATGAACAGAAGGTTCAGAGTGAATTTCAATTTTATTCATGTTTATTTAATGACTGTCAATATCTTAAATTATATGGTATGATAAAGTTAAGTGAATGATGAACTGAAAAAAGCAGTCATGGAAAAATTTGAGGGACTATTTTAGAATATTCCTGGAGGGACTGAGAAAAACCACATGAAAAGCTGCCATGATTTGAACTCAGAACCTCCAAAACACAAAGCACAAGTGTGACCACTCAACATCAAAGAGTGAAAACATCTGAAATGTTTCCTATAATACATTACCTTCACACCATCCAAATGCACGTACAACACACGATTGGAAGAAGTATGTTAATGGAGAGTGTGGATTTTGTGATCATGTTGTAGAGACAAGTAGTGGGCATATGGAGGTGATATGGGTGCCTGTTCTGGTTCCCTGTATTCATATGTCTTTGAATCTTCAAGCTGAAAATAAAATTAAGAAATGTTTAACAATTCACAGTTTCACAACAGGACACAAAGAATTAGTCACATGCCAGAAATTCCTACCATCATTCTACCTATTTCACATGTCAGAACCAAGCCATTTTTTCTTAATAGTAAAACTTCATCCACATTTAAACAACTTCAAAGAACAGTAAGTAAAGCGTCCCACTACATGCCTATGCATGCACTTGGGGGTGGGGGGTGGGGGCGAAGGTATAGCTCCTACTCTTTCTTGACCTTGGCACCAGATGGGGTGAGTGGTCAGCATCACGCCCCAGCTGTGCTTTACCCCCAGGAAAGGACCCCGATACCCATTGGACAGGAGGCTGGGTGGGCCCCAGAGTTGGTCTGGATGCAGAGGCTAGAGGAAAAATCCACTGCCCCCGTAGGGGATTGAACCCCGATAGCCCAGCCCGTAGCTAGTCACTATACTGACTGAGCTATCCCGGCTCCCAAAGAGCAGTACAAAATACAAAATTGAGAACACTTAATTCCTTAAATACAAAAATTATACTTTGCCATATTACAAAGAAGCAGGACATGTAACTAATAGGGCCAGCTCCATTAAGTAAGGCACAAAATAAGTTGAAGCTTGATCAACAGAAACAAAAAATATATATTCTCAATATGTAATAAATATAATAACAGAAATTATAGTAATATATGGTGATGAACAAATATATACAATAATATGTGGTAACAGCCAGGGAGTACAAAACAAGCTTTTACCACAAACACCCCCCCCCCGCCAAAAAAAAAAACAACAACAACTGACAGTGTCAACTCTCCCAAGAAACAAACACTGGAAAATAAGGCAAGATAATAAATTACCTGGCATTAAGGGAAGTATTCCTGCATGTACAAGAGTTAAAAAGAAGTTAATGTTGTAAGTTTAGGCTAGCATAACCTTCTAAGGCTATTTGTGGCAATCTACTACTTAAGATGAACATTTGTGCCACAAAATGAGATCAGATTCACCAGCCTCCCAAGGTACACATAGCTGGACAGTTCAATAAAACACAAATGACCACAGGCCAAGCTGCGTACAGGCGTGACTGAAGGATTGGTGTCAAAACTAAGAACATTACAAAATTAATTTTTCTATGTAAAAAATATGCCAGGCTGTAAAGCGGCAAATCTGGTAAAGAAATAAGTGCTAACAGGGGACACTAAAACCAATGAAAAAGATTTTGGCACCCTGTCAGATAAAACGTAAAAATGTGTTACTTCAGGTTCTCATTGTGGCAAGTATGGAGATGACCTGTCTTCTGGCATGCTCTACTGCATAGTCTGGTAGAAACTGATTGACATTTAAGATGTGCCTAATGCCTGCATCACCACAGTTCTGATCATCTCTCAGTTTCTACCAGACTTTAATTTGGAGCAGTTGAAGAGGGTGGGGTAAAATACAGCACCATGTGAGGCACGATGTTATTGAGTCACCAATTTTACAGTATAACCATAGACGAGAATATTCCTCCACAAGGAGAATACTAGTGTGAGGTGGGACTGGAAGGACTGAAGAGTTGTGGGTTAACTAACTAACTAGATGGCTTACCGAACCCGAAGGTTCATCACTGAATTAACCAAAGCCCTCCAGTGGACGCTGTCCTGGGCCAACAAAATCCAGTCTCCTTCAACTCCTATCTCCCATAGATCCCACCTGACATTATCCTCCCATCTACGTCTAGGTCTCCCCAGCGGTCTCTTCCCTTCAGGTTTCGCAACCAATACCTGGTGCACACCTCTTGTCCCATCCACGTGCGCTACATGCCCTGCCCATCTCATTCTTCTCGACTTAATCACCCTGACAATATTGGGGGAGGAGTACAAATTTTTAAGAGGTTTTGGGTTATCAATTTATTATACAGAGTGATTCAAATTCCCTGTGCACCTGTAAGAAAAACAAGTGTTTGGAGTGGAAGGTACTTTAAAAATCCCGTTCCTAACACGTGTCTTAGATGGTGTACATGGTGAGTGTTTGTGTGTGCATGTGCACAGGGACTTCTGAATCACTCTGTTTTGATAAGGTTTTGCAGAAATAGAAAATGAACATGATTTTTGAGATCCAAGTATGAAATAGATATATGTCGATTTCAAACCATTTCTGTGGAAGACTAGGAATTGATATCTACATCAAGATAATGGCATATTTCAGCACACCACTTAAATACAATTTCAAGGGAAGTTATTAATATGAACATCAGAAAGAAAACCAGTGGAATGTGTGGCTAAAAGTAGTCATAGAAGGAAAAATAAAAAAAATATTTTAAAAGGTTATGGAATTGAAGCATTATAAAACCAAATTTCAGAATTTAGAAAGGACATGGACTACTTATTTCAGACATATAGTAGAATGAATGACATAGTATTAAGGAATATTTGAAGCAACTGACTGAGTTACGAATACATAATGTAACATCAAGGCAACACTCATATACGGAAGGACAATGGAAGAGCCCATCATCACCACGACCGAAGAAGGCAAGACAGGTCAAGAGCAATGTGAAGTCAATGCTGATCTGTTTTTTCGACCAGGAGGGGATCATCCATAGGGAGTTTCTTCCTGCAGGTCAGACGGTCAATGCTGAATTTTACTGTGGGGTCCTGAGGCGGTTGCGTGAAGATGTGAGACGGAAGCGGCCGGCAAAGTGGCGCAACCACAACTGGCTGCTGCATCATGACAACGCGCCACCGCACACCGCCCTCAAAGTTCGGCAGTTTTTGGCCTCAAACACCATGGCCGTCATCCCGCACCCTCCTTATTCGCCGTGTGACTTCTTCCTCTTCCCAAAGATGAAAATTCAGCTAAAGGGAAGGAGATTTGAGACGATAGAAGAGATTCAGGCAGAATCGCAGATGGTGCTGGACAGGCTGACAAAGAAAGATTTCCAGGGATGCTTCCAGGCTTGGCAGCGGCGCTGGGATCGTTGTGGTCACTCCCAGGGGAACTACTTCGAGGGTGATGGATGAACTTAATACCTGAGTAAAGTGTACGGGTTTTTATACGCGCAGTCCTGAAACTTTCCGATCGCACCTCGTATAAACTACTGTGGCATTTGAACCGTGGTAAATGTAAGATACTTTGTTAGTTTAAAAACAAATGAAGAAATATGATTATCTTAAATTAATTCGGAATGGATAAGATAGATTAAAAAAAATTAAACGAAGTTTCCAAATGTGCTTTTTGAGATTTTCCACCCGATTACTGGTTTCGATGTTAATTTCTTGCTGATACAAATTTACTGTTAACAATCTAATCGACATTAAACATATTTCACAGTATAAAATAATAGGTCTATACATAGCCATATAGACAGGTTCCTACTTAACCCGAGGTCCGAGAAATGCTACAGCTGAAAGTTTAATTTCCTACTGTTTTATACAACTAACAGATTAAACGAAGTGTTACTAAGGGAAAATTGGACAAATATTTACACTTCGGATCAGCATTTCCTGTCCGAAAGCTTATCACAAGCCTGATGAGCCAATACATATCGTCGAATATCAGAGGAAAGAAATTACTTCAGCTAAACCCGAAAATATCTGCATTCACAATATCATTTAGAATATTTACTTAAAACATTTTTGTCATAATTCCTTTTGCACGAATATAGATATCAGTCGGGTCTGTTCTCCTTGATCAGGTTACTTGCAATATTTATTTGTTTAACTCTAAACTTTATCGCTAAAAGCCAATACGGTACATTCATATAAGAAATTATGAGACTATATTAAGACATGCACGTCTTATTCTAACCCAAAATGTGTGCACGAGAAGAATATAATTGCTACTGTGTACGTTTAGACTGTGTTTTGCTTACTCAAATCTCACAATTACCCACACTATGTCTTTACAGATTTCCCTGATACTTTCCTTTTCTCAGGAATCAATAAAACTCGTCCCTGGAAACGCTATACTTACTTTTAAACCGTCATCTTGTTTATGTTTCGCTCGTTGCTGTTCTCTTGTTATCTTCAATATGGCTGTTGGTTGCCGCGCTGCCAGCGTTACGCGATGCGGAAGTGTTCAGCAGTGTGTGAAACTGACAGACGGACAAGGAAAGCCTCGTCTTGTCTGTATTATACTTTATTCAATTTAATTCTGTCATCACTTCTCTTACGGTCTTGTGCGGACTTCTCATGTGTTAAAACCCAAAATCTGTATGAAAAGCGTAAATTATTTCTGAATGATAAATCGAATATTGAAATGAATAAGAAACGGCCGCAGCTTATTTTAAGATATTATTTTTTAATTCGCCTTGGGGCATGAGTAAAACCACGAAAAATATGTGACGATACTTTGCCTCAGGAATGCGATTTTAATATGGAAATTTAGAAAAACAAAACTGAAATTTTAACCACTCTACCTCGACGTTTGTCTAATTCATACATTCACACAGAACACATAACAAGCACACAGGTATCATGCATTTTTCCTATTTCTATTCGGGTATCAGCGAAAAGGCACACGTTCTGTATAAAAAAAAGTTTGGGGGTGCAAGATGGGAATGATACGTGTTTCGAAGTAAATTCGAATTCTCAAATTCTATATTCTTCTCAGAAAGAAATACGAAGGTTTCCAGGCGTTAATAACTGATTTTGCGTGATTCTACTGTCGGACTGAACGGGCAGGGGAATTGTCTTTTTGGCGTCGTCTTCAGTAACAGAATCAGAGGCAATCAAGCACGCGGCTGTGTGCAGGGACGGTCTGCTTCGTTTACATTCCCATCGCTAACCCCCAAGCGAGAGTACAGAACGCAATCTGCTTGCAGCTGGAATCTCATCTAAGAAGCTTTGTTTACCTCTCATATTTTCTGAAAGGGTAGGATCGGTGTTGTCCCATGTTTTTATGTAACAAACTTTACATTCGGACTCATATTTCCACATGTTAAAGGCACGAGGGTTTGAACCCTAACATACTGTGGAAATAATGACGAGTTGTTTATTTGGATAGTTAACTCGTGTATCCACACGCAGTTGTCATGCGTGAAACTGTCACGATATCTCCCGAGTGGTTAAGTACGACTTTCCTTAATTCTGTTTTATGCCTCTGAACTTCATGTAGAAAGTTCTTTCTTGGGATAAGTACAAAGGAACGTTCCAAGTGCAATGCTAATGGAGTACTGGTTGTTTACATCCTATTCTTCAGCGTAAAATCTCGAAATACATTACCCAAATTCGTCTTTCCTTTCATAAATTCTAGGCTT